TGACAGAAATATGCACAGATCAAGCACTGTTTACAAGTGAACAGTCCAAAACAGTTCTCAATAAATATGTTGGTGGATTTTGATGTGAGATGAGAAGGTTTTAGGTGCACTTTCCCTTTAAGTTTATATCCCATACTAGATATTATACAAAATATGTATATATGTTTATTTGTCAGATGCTCATCTGGGATGGAAGTGAAATAGAAGAGACCTACACAAAAGGAGTCTGCATACACGCACACAAATACAAAAAGTTTTGAACACATTATATTCAGAACACAAAGATCCCAGTGTTTTACACTTCTATGCACTGTAGAAAAACAGAAAATATACCAGTAATTTTCAAGTTTACAGACAGTACTTTAAAAAAAAAAATCTATGCAGAATATTCCTTCATATTAACACAGTACATCGGGCCCATTTTATACGTTTTATCTTTTGTACACACAGTGGAAAACTTGTTTTGAGTTTGATGTCAGAATTAAAGTCTTCTCTGGCCCTTTTAGTAGAAAGCCTCAGTGTTTATTTATTCTATACCATTCTTTCATGTAAGAGAATTTAAAGGCACAATATGTAATTTTCGCCGCTAGAGGGCGCATATTCAAAATAAACAAAGAAACAAAGGCGTAGTTTGATGACGCCGTGACTGAGTGTGGAATCATGGGAGTTGTCGTCTTCATCCCCACAGCCGCACAGCCGCGACGGGACTCGGGCAGAAATCATGTTCATGGATGAGCTAATGATTTATTAATGTAGCAGAATGAAGCAGGGTGAGGCTGAAAGCCGTCGAAGCGAAACGAGGCCGCTGAATGAGCGTGACACTCGGCTGGAAAGCAGCGGAGCTTTTATTATGCCACAGTCGACCGCTTCCGCTCCTTCTGGTCGTGAGTATGTGGGGTAAAGCAGCGCTGTTTTATCATACTAGATACATTTGAAAGTTCTGTTATAGCGAAACAAGCCGCTGAACGAGCGTAACACACGACTAGAAAGCAGCGGAGCTTTTATTATGCCACAGTCGACCGCTTCCGCTCCTTCCGGTCGTGAGTATGTGGGGTAAAGCAGCGCTGTTTTATCATACTAGATACATTTGAAAGTTCTGTTATAATGCTACTCTGTGTAGTCATCACCGGTCTATTAAAACGCACAACATATTAAAGCGTCTTTGGTGTTTCCATGTTTTCTACAAAACAAAACCGGAAATCGAGGGGTTATGACGTCATTAGCAGGCGACACAATGACACTATAGACAATGTCTGTGTCACTAGTTAAAATTGCTTATTTCTCTGGATTTAAACATTCTTCGAAACATTTGGGATAATGCAAGTACACAAGTCAGCAAAATATATAACACTGTTCTAGTGGTTATTTTAGATATTTGAATAAAAAATCTTACATATTGTGCCTTTAATGTAACTATTACTTTAATGTAATTATTTGTACACCCATTTATCTCTACATAATAAATTGCTAGTAATGTTCCGCATTTGTTTGTCACTTTGGATAAAAACATCTGCTAAATGACCAAATGTAAATGTACATCATTCCCATGTTTAGTCAAGGGATAGTTTGAAAGCATTTCCTGCTGAATTCACCACCAGTTGAGTTGTTTATGGCATTAATTTTTAGGTAGATTTGTTTCTCTTACCATTCCACAAAGTCCACTGTACTCTGCCTGGACATTTTGAAACCAGTAGATAACTGCACCATCCAGCAACTCGAGGTCGGTATGTTCGGTCTGGCTTGGGGGATGTCAACACTGCTGGATTCTTATGGGGGAGGTTTTGGGAGATTGGAAGCTACAGTATGTGGGCTGAAGGACTTGCTTTTAAGGGCTGTAGCTATAGGCAACTATGGTTCTGGGGAGATGGATGTGTAGGGTAATTGCACTCTAATTCTCTACTCTCCTACTTTTTTTCTCTTGCAGCCAGTCCTTTATCTTCTTCCTCTAAGAGGTTTTGCTCTCCATTGTGTGTACATGCTTTACCCTCATGACCATTAAAGGCTTGGTTGAAGTCACACTATAGCAGTTTTGTTGCTGCGTGCTTATGAATAGGCATAAGGTCAACATGAAAGCAAGTGTGCTTAGAATGATCCTGCAGCACATGCAACAGGTGCCTTTGTGGCCTAATTAGAGGACAAGACAAGTGACTCTTGAGCAGGGGTGTGAAGTAACGAATTACAAATACTCACGTTACAGTAATTAAGTAATTATTTATCAGTAATTGTACTTTTTTGAGTAGTTTAAAAATTGTGTACTTTTACTTTTACTTGAGTACATTTTAAGTGATGTATCGATACTTTTACTCCGCTATTTTCCTCCGTTTGTGGTCGTTACATGCTTATTTTAATTTTATTTTTATCAATCAATGTGATAGATAATAATAGGTCTCTTGACTTTCGTCAAATCAAATTGTGCATAGAAAACTTTAACTGCCAACTGTTTATCATGGCTGCTGGAAGTGCATTCTTCAAGCATCAATTCAGTCGCATCTTCCTCTAACTTAATATGCTAAGGTAAGTTTCGGATTTCTGCTTACTAAATAATTTGTATATATGCTTGCCTATCTACAATGACGTCATTAGCAGGCGACACAATGACACTATAGACAATGTCTGTGTCACTAGTTAAAATTGCTTATTTCTCTGGATTTAAACATTCTTCGAAACATTTGGGATAATGCAAGTACACAAGTCAGCAAAATATATAACACTGTTCTAGTGGTTATTTTAGATATTTGAATAAAAAATCTTACATATTGTGCCTTTAATGTAACTATTACTTTAATGTAATTATTTGTACACCCATTTATCTCTACATAATAAATTGCTAGTAATGTTCCGCATTTGTTTGTCACTTTGGATAAAAACATCTGCTAAATGACCAAATGTAAATGTACATCATTCCCATGTTTAGTCAAGGGATAGTTTGAAAGCATTTCCTGCTGAATTCACCACCAGTTGAGTTGTTTATGGCATTAATTTTTAGGTAGATTTGTTTCTCTTACCATTCCACAAAGTCCACTGTACTCTGCCTGGACATTTTGAAACCAGTAGATAACTGCACCATCCAGCAACTCGAGGTCGGTATGTTCGGTCTGGCTTGGGGGATGTCAACACTGCTGGATTCTTATGGGGGAGGTTTTGGGAGATTGGAAGCTACAGTATGTGGGCTGAAGGACTTGCTTTTAAGGGCTGTAGCTATAGGCAACTATGGTTCTGGGGAGATGGATGTGTAGGGTAATTGCACTCTAATTCTCTACTCTCCTACTTTTTTTTTCTTGCAGCCAGTCCTTTATCTTCTTCCTCTAAGAGGTTTTGCTCTCCATTGTGTGTACATGCTTTACCCTCATGACCATTAAAGGCTTGGTTGAAGTCACACTATAGCAGTTTTGTTGCTGCGTGCTTATGAATAAGCATAAGGTCAACATGAAAGCAAGTGTGCTTAGAATGATCCTGCAGCACATGCAACAGGTGCCTTTGTGGCCTAATTAGAGGACAAGACAAGTGACTCTTGAGCAGGGGTGTGAAGTAACGAATTACAAATACTCACGTTACAGTAATTAAGTAATTATTTATCAGTAATTGTACTTTTTTGAGTAGTTTAAAAATTGTGTACTTTTACTTTTACTTGAGTACATTTTAAGTGATGTATCGATACTTTTACTCCGCTATTTTCCTCCGTTTGTGGTCGTTACATGCTTATTTTAATTTTATTTTTATGATAATGTGAATTACAGAATGTACAACATTTTTAAAAGGTATCAATTGCGGTGTACAGCGTTTATGATGAGGGGGTAGAATCCACAGCTCAGTACTCACTACTCAATACTCATGAGTACTTTTAAATAGGCTACTCTTTTACTCTTACTCAAGTAGTTTTTTGGACAAGTACTTTTACTCTACTCACACTACATTTTTTGGAAGGTAATGGTACTTTTACTTGAGTATATTCTTTCAGTACTCCACCACTGCTCTTGAGCCATCAATTACTGAATAATGTATGATTAGTCTCAGACAAAACTCTCTAGACAGTTAAAGCCATCAAGCCATAATAATCCAAAATTACCCAGTCACATTTTACAGTAGTGAGTAATTACATTCTTAAATACTTATAACTACTACTTAATATCCATGCTGGACAGTAATAAATAAATAACATCTTTTTAAAGTAGCATGATAATAGTTCAGCTAGTAGCATAAGTTGCATATTTTTAGTAAATTAGTCTAGCATTTAGTGAAGTACCAGTAACGATCTATATTTCTCCAATGATCACAGCCCATTTCATACTGCACACTATAATATCAACAACAATAATTGAATTATAAGCAACTTCCCTAAATAATACACATACATATTAAAATACATACATACTATACATATACATACACAATAGATATTTTAGCTTGGCAGGCTACAGTTTCAATGTAGCTTTACCACACTCTTAAAATAAAGTGCTGCCACAGAGGAGCAATTTTGGTTGCCCAAAGAACCTTTCAGTGAACAGTCTTAATGTGAAGAATATTTTTAAAATCTAAAGAACATTTTTTCCACTTTGAAAAATCTTTTGTGGAATGGAAAGGTTCCATGGATGCTTAATGTTCTTCACGGAACCAATTATAAAAATAAAGAATCTTTATTTTTTAAGAGTGCAGAGCTAGTAAATATGTATTTATTTGGGGTATTCACTTATAATTACGCATAAATTATTGTTGCTTTTTTTATAGTGTAGATAAATCTATCAGCAATGTATGTGTAATGTATATACAAAGTAATTAGCATGGATGGACATCCTGATATAAAGCATCACTGAATCTCTTTTAACATTTCATCCCCACTTACTCTGGTATTCATACTCATTTTACAGTCAGTGCTTTTAAAATCATACCGACTGGCCTTTCAAAAGAAAAAAAACATCCACTCTGCTCTTTTTCTGTGTTAAGAGAACTAATTATACTAATAAGAATTATACTAATTTGAGTATGCTGTTTAATGGCCGGCTGTTAAGTAGAAGTGGTGAGTATTCCAATCTTTAATTTATTTCTAACTGAATTTAATTTTTTTCCATTTGTATGTGCTGTATCTGTATAGACAGGCTATACACGGCGAAATTAAGTTATTTGGTTAATGAAATTAATTGAAGGATTAGCATTTATAAGTAAAATATATGTAATAGAAGTATTATTCAAAGGTTTTTTTTTTTTTTAGGTGGTTGCATTTACGTGACGTTTTTCTGCTCAAAGCATTTGTAAACTGCTTTGAATGATCTTCATCTGTGAATTTGGTGAGCATAACCCAAAAGTTTTAATCCTACTTATTTATACTTGACATTTTACCTTTAAAAAAAAAATCCTAGTATTTAACTATCCATTTCTTTTAAACAAAACAGTTTCAGAAATGTCATGTTTTAGATTGTAGGTCGTCTTGTACACTGTCAAGGACAAAGCTAACCAGCAAAACTTTATATCAAAAGCATCCTAAATGTTCGGAGTTTAGGATTCCATGAGCAATCCAGTCATTTATATAGATCAGTGGGGGTAAAAATGTATTAAAAAAAAACCTCTGCTCTGCTTGTCACCCTTGGCCAGGACGATGATGTCGATATTGGACGAGAATGTATTATCAAGGGGCTCTGCGTATACCTCAACGAGGATCCAGACAATTTAGTGAAAGAGTATGTGGTAAGTACAATTATAAAGGTTCATTAATTTAGATCTGTCTTTCATAAACAAATAATTGCATAAAAAAAAACACCCGCTACTTAGATTATTGATCAGTCCCTCCAGGATTTTGCGGGACCTTTTTTATTATTTCTGGCCTAAAATGACTGAAATTGCAGCATCTTTTCTCAAAATTTGCGGTGATATGATGTTCACATTTTTCATTAGATCTACATTATTAATTGATTGAAATTAAAAAATTTTATAATATTCCCAGAGAAGTGCCCAATGCTCTGTTAAATCAAATATTGTCTGTGCATTCTGCAGACTGCTGACGAAGCCTTCATCCAAAAATCCAATGAGACCACCACAGTGGGAATCTATGTCCTTAAATTTCATGACGGATCTCAGGACATCGAGATTGTCCTTGAAGGCCAGAACGTCTTGCAAGGCTTGGACAACTTTGCATTAGCTACGGCAATGCTTTTTGGTCTAATGTATGCTTTAAGTCTCAACTACCCACCTGAAATGAAATATACCTTTGAGGTACTGCAGAAAGAAGTCATGGAGCTGGAAGGCTGCACTCTTATCAAAGAAAGATCAAGTTCTTAGAAACAGACTCTATGAGTGAGCTGTTTCCATGGTACGGCAGGTACTTCCTCTTGGAATAAGGACCACTGTTTCTTTTTTTATTTCACACACACTCACAAAGAAAACTTATACCGCACATACGGAGTCAACTGTTTATGGAGTAGGTTGGCCACTGTTTATTTTGTGGTTGTTTGATGTGTATAGTTAGTTTTTTTTTCCCTGGTCAAATTTGATTGGTTAAAAGGACCTGAGTGGTTAAAATTTGATTGGTTAAAATGGAAAGGCCACTCAGAAATGAACATTCTTGAAAGTTAAACAAAATTGACTGGTCTTACTGCTTTTGAAACAAAACAAAAACGTCAGGGGAAGCTTTGGACTACTTAATACTCCTTATTGTCCACCTTTTCCACTACACGTTTGATGGTGTCTTGTCTTTTACTTCATGACAGGATATATGCTGTCATTGTTCGTAGTCATTCATTCATGGAATTTAAACAATTTTTTATCTTAACAGAACGTTTCTGTAGCACATACTGTGTGAAAATGTATTGTACTGTTAAAAATACAGTGAATTGATTCAAGAAATGTTTTTGCTTGTCTTTTTAAAAATGTATCGTATTAATGTTGTAGCTAAGACTAGTAGATGTACAAAATACATGTATTTATGAAAGCCAGCTTACAGTATTCTAAAACTAGAACTAACCAGGATAGTTTTATTTATTGAGAAACCACTGCATATATGAATGAAAGACATTAAAATCACGTTTGTTTAACAAACATAAATTATGTAGCTTTAACATATATAAATCATGTTCATTTAAACAGATTATGAAGCTTTAACATGTATAAATCATGTTCATTTAACAAACAAATTATGAAGCTTTAACATGTATAAATCATGTTAATTTAACAAACAGAAATTATATAGCTTTAACATATTTAAATCATGTTCATTTAACAAACATAAGTTATGTAGCGTTAACATATAAAAATCATGTTGAGTAAATCTAACTTTAATATGTGCAACCGATGTACATATTTTTTTTAATGTTAATCCAACAGGTTTTTTTTTCAGTGTGGATGAAACAAAAATAGTGGAAAATGCAGCCTGGGTGACCGTTGCCATGGTCTGCAGAGATGTGCAGTTAAGCTGTAAATGTCTTAATGGATTGTCAGAGCAGATGGATTGTCAATGGGCAGTCAGAGCGGTCTAATGTAGAAACCTGTAATGGACAAAATAATGCTCATTCTGCAGGGAACGCTTCTCAGATTACAAACCAGCTCGCTTTACCACCATAGCATCAAAAACATGTTTTAAAAAAGATGATCTTTCGCATGTCACGTCTATCCTTGAAAAGTGTCACTTGGTTTAGTGATAGTTATACAAACAGTCTTCCATAGCAGAAGGCTATAGCTGATAATGCAGAACTAAGCAACACAACAATAGCAATTGGTAAGCGTTTTCAATAACTACTTATCAAAAGAAAAGAGCTCAAATACGGTCATTATTTCGTAGACCCAGAATAAGAAGGTCGTTGCTGAGGGAAATCAGGTTGAAGCCGCCTGGACGGACGATGAATTTGGTTTTATGTCTTTCTCATCACTGCCATCTCGTGGCTTTATAAAGAGACAGCATGAGGTCGATGCCTTGATGGAGTGTGTGAAAATACCATTACGAAAGATATTTGTGATGGTGAAAGTTATTGTGCTTACTGCCACTGTTGCAAAATCTCGCGAGACAAATAAGCAACCGCAGCTTCAAAAACAAGCCCAAAACAAGCCCAATATTTTTTTTATACCCACTAAAATATTGGCTATTTGAACCAAATCTACTCTTAGTATTTGTATAGGCCTACTTGTTGTTTTGTTTTGTTTTTTACAGCCCGTGATAATTTATACATTACAAAACATTGTAAAAAAAAAAATTAGACTGCCTTATAAAGGAAAAAAGTCATCCCACTCCTCTACGTCTACTTCTATCATCGCTTGGATTCAATCCCTCATAGAAGAAAAATCACGTTCAAAAAGAAGGCGCGTGCAGAGGGGGCAGAATATTTGACAAATTATGCTACAGCACTTATATTTTTGCACTGATTGGCTATTAACTGTGAGCAGACAGAGTGTCAGTCAATGCATTGGAGAATACAGTGAACATAAATGAAAAGAAACGAAGTTGCTTGTCAGGTTTTCCTAACAAGTAATCATATTTTTTAAAATAAGACCAAAAAACCGCGACCCAGGATTTTGGCAACTCTGCTTACTACTATTTTTTTTTAGCTTTCACTCCACACAGAACAAGCTTTCTCAACTGAAATAGTTCCTTATGCGCCACCTAGCATATAGCATCAACATCAAAGCAGATAGATAGATAGATAGATAGATACTGTAGATAGATAAGCGTTTGAGCTTATATAGTTTTAACATAGGCCTACCTCCTGTACACAATCGATACATTTTGGAAAAACACTGTCACCACTGTTAATGAAGTGTTTTATGCTTATGCTTTGACTTTTTAAAAAGTCGTGCCAGTAAACAACTTGGCAGTGCATAAATATGTATACATCATTGTCAGAGCTCTGACTCCTGTATTCCATGTAAATGACCTGAAAATACACACTTAGTCTACAGTTGCTTTGACCTTTATAAAAGCCTCACTAGTGCACTAGAAGACTTCACATGTTTTATATGTTCATCTGAGAGCAACCTCCTGATATTCTATAAAATTTCATAAGCTACTTTGAAATTAATCTACAAACAATAGTTTATCAGTGATTAAGTGAATGGACTCCATTGAGTGAATAATATAGAAAATTGTTAACCACTAAGTCTGTTACATTTTTGCTAGTCTCAAAATTTCTGTATTGAAAAAATAAATCATAGAAATGGTCTGAAAGTCATTTATATTTGGGATATTTTTCTATTTAGTAATATACTGTATTAGTGAACTGTACCTGGACGAATAAAGATGTGTTAGATGTGTGTTGGGGATTTTTGATATTTCAGCACTGCATTCTCATACATTAAGTGTGATATTTGTCTACATTCTTCAAGAATGTGACAAATGGTACAGGATGTCTCACACAATCTGCCCTTTTCTTTGCGAAGAAAAAAAAACATTCTGCAGGTTTCTCCATTTATCTTCAAGATCGCCAGTGATTCTGGTGACTGGCTAAATGTCAGTAAATGGAAACACCGTGAAGAGCCGAGTGGAAGTTAGTGAAAAGCTGAGTGAGAGAGTTTTTTGCCGTTGTAATTTATTAAATACAAAGCTCAAATTCTTAAAGAATTGATTTTTATTTGCCAAAATTTCATAACATTAACATATTAGATTAAAATTGTATGTACTGCATATGCTGTGTATTGCAAACATAGCTTGCATACAAGTAGTATGGCAGTAGGCCATTCTGAACTTAGTCAGTGTTTCAGGAAGGAAGCTGTGGTTCAAATTATGAGTAACCAGCTCCCCCCAAATTCAATGGGCTCTACCATATTGTCATCCGTGTGTGATTTCTGGACCGTTTCTATCTAGCTTAGGATCTGTCCATGTCAATTTGAATAGAAACGTATAATTATTGTGTGTTTTCAAACGTTTTCTGGTATTCAATACATTCAGAGTTCAACACTGAATTTTAAGATTTCTTTTTTTAAATATAAACTTTCTAACACGTTATATGGATTTAACACTTGTGGACTGGATATGTCATGCCATGATCCTCACACGTGTAACCTGACACTGATGGGGGATGGGGGATGGTGTGTGTGTGTGTTGAATATAAATCCCATCTCAAAAAAAGCTAAATTTTGGGTCGGTTTTTCAGTTGTTTTCTATTTTCATTCTCTCAGGATCTGCGCAAAGCTGCAGTGTTGATCTTTGCTAATAAGCAGGACATGAAGGGCTGTATGTCTGCGGCAGAGATTTCCAAATACCTCACCCTCAGCTCCATCAAGGATCATCCCTGGCACATCCAGTCCTGCTGTGCGCTCACTGGAGAAGGGTAAGACATGCAGTATAGACACAGGGATTACCTGTCTTAGCTTGTACGGTGTAATAGATTGATGATGGCAAAAGGTACAATCAACCCAATAAGACAATCATCCCAGGCTCAGTGGAAAAATGTGCCCCTACCGACATTTTTACAAAACTCTATGTACCTGTATGTAAAAATGTACCTATACACATAGTTCATTGAATGTTCCAGCTGAAATGAACACTAGTGACAGTAAAACATCAACAACATTTTCACAATAAATTATGATTACGGGACAGATTATCGATTACGTGGTTCCATGCACAATGCCATGTTATGACCTCAAAAGACTTTTACCATAGTGCATTATTTGTCAACTAATATATTTTGATGTTTGCATCTAGGGGTGTGCCATATCATACGTCCACGATAATACCGGTATACATTTTTACATGATAAAAAAGGTGATGACGTATGGCGGATATACGTTCCCTAGTGCGCACAACAACAACACAACAAGCCCAAGAGGTGTGTTCGACTTGAAGCAGCGCTGCACAGACTGATCGGTGTATGACTTCAAAGTATCACGAGAGCGGTTCTAGAGCATATTCGAGAGCACACTCTTACCTTCAAAAATAGGCGAGGCGCATATCTTTAGCGAAGCGGCGTGTACAGTAGAGGGTGCTGTTACCATTTCAGACGTGGCCATTACAGCTTGAAATGTCCTTGATGTGAGATGCAATTTAAAGGAGGGGGGATTTGTTAGAATGCAGCAGTTGGCTGGATTTATTGTAATATCTGTTACAGGTGTTTTAAGTAACCATTCTCCTTGCTGGAGTGTGGTTATAGCATAAAGGTCCTTCAGTTATTATGAGGAAATAATGTTCAAGAGGAACACAGTATTATGATTTTTAAAATCTCTTTTCATCCCAACCCTCTTGATGCAGATATTCACTGCTGCTGATCTTCACAGGTCAACCAGCCATAATAGCTGTGTCTGTTGCTATGTAAGTGATTGCCGTTTTATTCAGATTTCTTCAGCTCGGACATTTATTTTTTTTTTGTCATCTTCCTTTTTTTCAGGTTATTTGGAACAAAATGAACGCATGAGCACTAGTTCTTATTTGTTTGCGTGGTGATTTTGCCAATATTCTTATTAGTTCTAGCTGAAACTCCTCTGTTTTCACAGATTTTTTTCATCCTCTCCGTGCCCTGTGCTCAGTTAAGGGAAACTCTTTCAAGACTTGAATGCAGTGACTACGATCTATAAGAATTCTGAAGAGAGTTTAGCAAGGTTTTGATTCTGTGCACAAGACTTTGCAATCATATAAGAGAAGGTAAGTTCTTTTTGTGCATTTTGTATGTTTTATGAAGCCATTTTTAGTGTTTTTGAATTTTCAGGTTCTCAGAAGAAAAAACACTCCACAGCATTGGATTAGTTTTGTGTATCCATTTGAAAATTGTCTGTGCTTGCACTTTGTTTGAATCTATTTCTATATAAATTGGCTTTGTA